TTTATATGAGTTTTTGGTTTTACTCATTAAAAGATGACGAGAATGTAATCAATCTAGAGACTAGCAGAAAATATATGTAAAACATTACAATTAAACATTTTTATACAGAAAAAATATTTAAAATCAATTTATAATTTCCTAATACAAAAAGAGTTTGGATGAAATTTTCACCAAAGGAAATAAATAGCAAATTATCATATCAAATCATAAAGACATGCTAATCAAGATGAAATTCCAGTATACACAACTTTTTATATTGTTTCAGGAGCCAAGCAGTTGGGTTTACTACAAGCGTAGGAACAGGAGAGGCTCGTGAGAAATAAAGTTTGTTATATCCACAACTCCCAGAGACAGTTGGGTCCCAAAGATCACATCTCACACATGAAAATGAGACCAGGATGGTAAAGAGGCAGATGATAGAAATGAGGAGAAGGTGTGGGCCATTGCTTTCCATGGGGTTTCTGCAGAAGAGGCAGAATAAGCAGTTTACTGCGACGGACCAGCTCGGCCAGAGCACTGGAACCGACGGGACAGGGATCTTGGGATAGGTGGGCAAGGAGTAGGCGAAGTGACAAACAGTCACAGACTCAAAAGAGTTGCATCTGAGTGTATCTTTATTGAGGAGAATTAACAGTGTGTGATTGTGACATAAATTCTTTGTTTATTTAAGCACGTAATCAATTTTTAATAGGCAAAGCATTGATGAATTACATGAAAATTGATGACTATCCCACCAACTGTTTAAGCTAAGTGGTGCGAAACAAGTCTAGCATATTGTTTAATAGAATACGTCATCTATTCAGCCTTTTTATGTTTAATAATTAACAAACCTAAAACAGGGCTGTACTTATATTGTACTCTTTTTATTTTTATTTTTATGCAACTATTTTCATCTTTATAAGCTCCTGTATAAGGAAATGGCTTGGTTCAGGAAATATGATGTTACTAACTTTATATTTTGTGTGAAACCACCATCTATTCCCTATAATGTAAGTTGGACTAAACTTAATCATAACTGTTTGGAGAATCTTTCTTTTTCTTTTATATTCAGAGGTCCGTTCTTTTTTAGAACTCTCTGAACTACTGGGATGACTCTTTCTAACTTAGTTTAATTCATTGATTTTGTGTGTTGGACATATCTGGAAATTTTAAGTCTCTATATTTACTATGCATGAGCTGCAAAACCGCTTGTGAAGTTGTAGGAGTTTCTGGAGACAACGTCACATTAGATGATAGATTTAATCTTTGGTCTTAGTCTTTATTACTTAGAGAAGCCGTCTCTGTAGGACTGGAAAGATACAACATGCTCTGTTCGCAGATCAATAGAAAAATAGACAAAACGAGAATAAAGGCAACGAATGTACAGCCAAGAAGAATATAGTAAGAATAAAGGTAGAGGATATAAAGGTGCAGCCAAGTGTATGGGAAGTCTTGAACCAACACCCCCTTCCTGCAGGCATGCTTCCTTGAAGCTCTTTGTCTAACGCGATCTCTCACGCAGACTCCGCAGAAGGTGGCATGGCAGTTTACAATCAACTAGGTTTGTTTGAATGATTTAAGCACATTTTAGACTCTAGCAACAAGATCTAGTTGCTCAATGTGTGGTCCTAAAATAATGCAGAGCAGAGTCTACAAGGATCCGAAGACCAGATAAAGAAGTCAAGCACTTGACTTCTCTTGACTGATTAATTTGCATAGACAAAGTATGCACCAACGTAGGATCTTTATTATATTTGAGAATGGGCTAGAGTTGAGAAACATTATCTCTCCTCACAGAACAAAGTTTTATTTATCTCAAAAATCTCAAGACCTACAAAAAATTAAGATAGTATTTACAATAACTAGTGGGATTTGGTGGACCACACCTAAAATCTTAGCTCCTCCGGATATTGCCTGGTTTGAGGCTAGCCCAGGAAAAATGATTATGAAATCCACCGAAACACACAAAGCTGTGTGTGATGGAACATGCCTGTAGCAGGATATTATGTTCTTGTTTCCAGCTGCAGTAAGAAACAAAACATAGAAAGATTATGTTTCAGTCTCTGTGCAATAAAATATGTGAGTCTATTTTAAAAGTTAACAGATCAAAAATGGCTGGAAGATGGATGCCAGTTCTTCTCATCTAAAATCTAAGAAATTTCCTGAGATATTGTTTTGTTCTTGACTGGTTTCCCCCCGGACATCCCTATGGAGAGTTTGTTTATCATGGAAAAAATAGGAGAGGGCCCGGGAAGGTGGCTCAGTCGTAGAGTGCTTGCCTTGCATGTATGAGGTCCTGGGTTCAATTCTTCAGCACCACATAAGCAGAAAAAGCTGTGCTGTGTGTCAAGTGGTAGACTGCTAGCCTTGAGCTGAATAGCTGCGGGACAGCCACCAGACCCAGAGTTCAGGACCTATGACCAGGAATAAAAAAAAGAAATAGGAGAGATGTTTTTCTAATAATTGGGCAACATTTTAATAAATTTTAATAAATGAGCAACGTTTCTGACACTGCCTGGAATGTGCCTCTGAATTGGTGTCATGCTTTGTGTACAGTGACTGAGTTTCATAACCTGTGTAGTTTCTGAACCCTAATGAGTGACTTGTGACATGAGTGGCACTTTGAACATTTAGTGAATACACATTTCGATGAAGCTCTGCCCATTGTATCTCCTACTTTGAGGACAAGAATAAGAAAGGAAGAGGCTATTCAGATACATGATGTACAGATGTTTCTAGATCAATGTCAGTTAATCCAGGAGTCAACAAATGAAATGCATAGGCCAGTCTAGCTAGTGATAGCATGGCACAGCCCCTGAGCTAGTAATTTCTTTTACAGTTTTAAATGGATATATAAGCCAGAGACACGTGTATCTTACAATGCCAATAATTTCCACCTATCCATGTTCAGAAAAACTTGATAACCCTTAATTTGTTGCCCCTGGCATTTTCTCTGTGGCAGGACTGCAAGAAAGACAGACTCTCTCTGAGCCCATTTCACAGGCTGTGACACAGGAGTGGCAGAAACTAAGTTGTATTGACTGGGTTAACTCAAGTCCTAAAAGTACTGACCTCAGCAGAATTTATGGGACCCAGACCTCACCCAGCATATGCAGTTGATGTGATGCTAAGAAAAAAATCACTCTTTCTTATTGCTTCTGAGATCCATTTCTCTCTGGGATTGTCTTTAATTCTGTTAGAAAGGTAGTGAAGCCTGCTGTTCTTGTACTCGTTTCAGCTGGAGATGTGCTATGGTGACATGTTCTTGAAAATTGTTTGTAGCATTGATATTTACCAGCTGCCCAAATACTGCTGCAAGAAAAGCAAATGAAAATGTTTTCAACTGGTCACAGCCCAATTCCTTGCATTAGGGTCCCGCTCTGGGATTTGGTCTATATGAAGGTTAAGCTGCTCCATTGCATCATAAACATCATCTTACCAGACATTAGTGCTGGACTCTCACAGATATTGGCACTGATATTCACAAACAATGGACAACTTTTCATTGCCTTTTAAACTAACAAAGCAATCTATAGACCTAATGTAGCCCCAAAGCTGGCCTGACTTGTGGCAAGGCCCACATTCTTCCCACTAAATATTATTAAATATTATTATGATCTCTTATAACTCCATGGATGAATTTCCTACAATTTCAAATGACTTTTAGTAGTTTGTCCTGATTCTTTGGGTAACTGGTCTATTCTATAAATCTGCAAAGCAATTATTCTGATAGGTTCTTCTGTAAGAGTAGAGCATATAACTTCCAGAAGAGTCTCTTGTGACTGCTTTTGAGAATGCCACACAAAATTGTGAACAAGTTTTTGTGCAGTGACATATGCAGTGGGAAACTATTACCCTAACCCATTCTCCATTTTCCATTTGAATATGACTCTTTTGTAATCCATATGTGTTTCTAGGTTTTTGTTTGTTTGTTTTTGCCAGTCCTGGGGCTTGAACTCAGGGCCTGGACACTGCCCCAGAGAGCTTCTTTTGCTGAAGGCTTGCACTCTACCAAGTGAGCCACAATGCCACTTCTGACTTTTTTGTTTATGTGGAACTGAGTAATCAAACCCATGGCCTCATGTATGCTAGGCAAGCACTCTACAAGTAAGCCACATTCCTAGCCCCTCTTTCTAGTTTTAACAGAATGAACACTGTTGGAGTCTCATTATTCCTCAATGAGGTCTTCAGAAATCAAACCAAGTTTTGTTAGGTCTAATGTATGGCACTTCTTTCTGAATTAGAAAATAGGCTCTTTTTTTCACCAAGACCTGAGTGTCCATTAACACCTCTCTCAGGGACAATGTTATGGGATTAGGAGTTATTTCCACAATAGTGTGTGGTGAATAATTAGTTGGCTTCAGTAACATCTAATTGGAATAATTGAATGGCTTACTGAGATCATGGGATGCCTTGGATCATGTAGTAAGAATTTCTTTTTTGGGGGGGAGGAGTCCAGTCGTGCAGCCTGAACTCAGCCTGGGTACTTTCCCTCAGCTCTTCAGCTCAAGGCTAGCGCTCTAGCACTTGAGCCACATCACCACTTCCAGCTTTTTTCTTTTTGCTTATGTGGTGCTGAGGAATCGAACCCAGGTCCTCATGCATGTAAGGCAAGCTCTCTACCACTGAGCCACCTTCCCAGCCCTTCTTTTTTTTTGGATAGAAATGTTTTCTTTATTAATGACCCAACCATATTTCTTTAGATACAAGAGTTTTGAACTCAAATATTTAGAAGAAAACCAGATTACATTGTCTTGCAACTCATTACCAGTAACATATTGCAAAGCAAAAGAGCTCAGAAAAGAGGGTGGGAGGGAAGGGGAACAAGGGAGGGAGGATAAAATAAAGGAATTAAGTTGATCAAGTGGAATTCTTTTTTTTAACTCTTGGAAACTATGAAGTCCTTGCAAGCACAGGTCGTTTCTGCAGATTATTTTCCAAACGCATACAAAATGGAACCCAAATGGAGACTCCCTTAAGAACCTGGAGAGGTGCAACATGAAGGGCTATGATTTTCCAGTAGCAAGTGGTCCAGCCTTAGGTTGCCAGCACTTCCTCCTCTGTTCCCAAGAGTTAGCAAGATGAAAACATCTTTCCCGTGATTGTTTTCATTTTTTTTTCTCCGCATCTGGCCGTGCACGGTTGAGCACCTTGAGGAAATCCAATGTTTTTGCCCGCATACGTGTGTGAATATAGGCCTTGAAGCACTTGATGTGGTAGTGCAGGTAGTCCTGTAACGTGTAGATCAGGTTGATGGTATTGTCTCCAGCAGTAGCATTGGTGTGGTGAGGGAACAGCACAAAGGTGATGTAGCCAATGTCGCCCACAGCAGCATCTGTGTCTTTCAGCTTCAGAGGAGGTTCCCTGTGGCTAAAAATGACCTGGGGGGTTGGGGAGCTGGCTCTGCGTCCTTCTTTGAACTCCTTTCCAATGACCACATTATCATCATCCTTAAACACTGTGCTGAAGACTACTGTGACTCTGTCCTTTTTAGATTCAACATATATGGTCTCATCCCTATAATGGATAACAGCCCTGTTTTCTCCTTCCTTTCCCTCTTCTTGGAACTGGAAGCATTTTCCAAAGACAGAGGCAAAACAATTTTGCTTCAACATGCCAGCCTGATGCACAATGGAATCCTTGGAAGTAGGCAGATTTTCAAGGTCATATAGCAAAGAATCATTGTATCCTGATTCTGGGTTTACTAAGAAGCTTCTGTCCACCCTCTTTAACAACTCATCAGCACCATGTGCCTGAAGTTCCTTGTAGAATTTCAAAGACATACTGACCATCCCTTTTGTTTTATCCCCATTAAGATTTGAAATATGATAGAGGACTCCATCAAAATCTGGAAATGTTACTTCTACTGCTTCTGGTTTGTTACCAGCAGCCACCTTCTCGAACTTGAGCGCCAACGTCTCCTCGATGATGCAGTTGTTCACCTTCAGCATTATCATGGCGGCTGCTGGCCCTGCGTCCTGAACCCGCCCGCCGAGCTGTGGCCGCTGCCGGTCCACCGCTGCCATCACCATGGCCTCCGCCTCCAAAATTTCTTACTAATTTGAATCGTGACATCCTTGCCCTTACTTTTGACTCAAACTCCTAATAGTGTGTGAAATCATGAACTGGAGGAACCACTAGTGGGCCAAGACTCCAACTTTTCCATAAGAATATGATCAAGACTTTGCTTCCTTTTTCCTGCACTCACATTATAGAGCCCTAAGCCTTGTATGCTGATGGAATTGGTACTTTGCAAATCACAAGGCATGTGTTGTATCTTCAGAATGTCAAGAGTACTGTGGTGTCCAAACTAGTTCAGCCTCATGGCCTGTCTACTGCTTGTGGTAGCAGTGCTTCCTACAGCATGAAATGAGGCCTCACAAGTAGGGTTGTAGGAGTGCATCCCTTCTCTGTTCCTTACACACTGGCATTGCACATTCCTGTATATACATAACATACACACACCCTTTGTTATTCAATTAACCTGTGAACACATTAGCTTTTTCATTTGTTCAGCCAATGGGCTTCACATTACAAGGTAAGCCAAAGAAACTCAAATATAAGCAAGACTAGATCTGTCCTCAAAGAAATCACTGTTCAGTGGAACAGGCAACGAGCAATGATATTATCAATCAGTCAGATAATGTTCATTGTGGGAGAACAGAGATCTTACATGTAGTGATCTCACCTTCTCTTCCAAATCTTGTTAAGATGCCAAATGGGCATGTTTAAAAAACAATTCCATGTGAGCTCCAAAAAACTATCAGTTGGAAAAGTTAAGAAATAACTATACAATACAGTACAGATGGGCTCAAACTTAGCGATTCACTGAGCATTCTTTAACCCCAAAAGTTAATGATCTGTACTTCCCATCCAAACCTTCTGAAATATCCAGCACTGTAAGTAAATGGGATGCTGAAGGCAAATCTAAGGATCCTAATTATGTTTGTGTGTCCTTACTAGCCCACTAAGGACATCTGGGGAAAGGACAGAAAGGACTAGAGGTCATGTCCTTATTATCTTCAGGCTCTCCCAGCAACACATAGTAGTTTTCAAGTTTTCTTTGTCACACAGTGGCCATCCACATAGTCATATCATATTGTTGTTTGTAATGAGTGTTTGTTGGATACTTGATTTCTGTTCTGGACATTGTACTAATATGTCTTCTTAATTTCTCTTAATTTTTACCATAACTTTAATGTGGTAGGTGTATGCCAGCTTTACAGTAGATGCTGAGGCTCAATGAAACCATGTCACTTGTCTATTGTCTGAACCTTCTCTCAAACTCTGTGCCTTTGCCTGAATAAGGGAGGAAAACAAGGGTATCCATCCCACTGGACTGTAGGCAGGTTAGAGGTTAGTACAGGCTAATGCCTAAAGATGTTTTCTGGAAGAGATTAACGACCTCAGAGATATTAACTGCCATAATTATATAATATCATAGCAAGGAACTATTGCATTTTGTCACAAACCAAGCACAAATATAAGATGGTAATCTATTTTAGATAAAAATCTCACTCCAATTAAAAATGAAATGCTTGATATGATAAAATTAAGTGTTTGGAAAAGTTGATAAGTTGTTATAAGTGATCTTTTCTCTTATTCATGGGACTAGAAGTCAAGGAAATGTCCTTTCTCTTCCAGGCCTACAGGATTTATCCTGGGCAGAGTATGTGCTACCATCTCATCCTTCTTGACTTCTGAAATCAACAGTGCCATTACTGTGTTCACAATGAACATCTACATGTATAGTTGCCCTATGGCCACTGAAAAGGAACTCAGGATACCAGGATGGTGATGTACTTCTCTAATCACACTAGCTAGTAGTATTAAGAGAGGTCCTTCACAGTGTGAGAAATCTTATATTCCAATACTCCCTACCTATTTTTTTTTTTGCGGGAGGGGGTTGATTGTGGGGCTTGAGCTCTGGGCCTGGGCACTGTCCCTGAGCTCTTCAGTTCAAGGTGAGTGCTCTACCACTAGAGCCACAGTGCCACTTCCGGTTTTCTGAGTGGTTTATTAGAGATAAGAGTCACATGGACTTTTCTGCCTGGATTGGCTTTGAACTGCGATCCTTAGATCTCACCTACTGAGTAGCTAGTATAGCAGGCCTGAGCCACTGGCACGTGGCAAATTTTTGTATTTGTATATAGTATTTCCCTTTGACTAAGTTTTGAAATGGCGATTGATTCCATTGTTCGTCACAAAGAAAATTGTTTCAATTTTAAAAAGTTGAGTCATATGCTGGGCAACATTTTCTCATGTCTGTAATCCTAGATACTCAGGAGGCTGAGATCTGAAGATCACAGTTCAAAGGCAGCCCGGGCTGACAAGAAAGTCTGTGAGACTCTGAACTGCAATACACTACTCATAAAAAGAAGGAAGTGATGGTTTGGTTTAAGTGGTAAAGTGCTAGCCTTGAGCATAAAGAGGCTAAGAGACAGCTCCCAGGGTCAGAGTTCAAGCCTCAGGACTGGCAAAAAGAAAAAAAAAGTTGAGTTATAGACTTAGACCCTGCCAAATCACCAGCTTAGGTCACCACAACCAGAGGTAATAGATGTTCTCTGCCCTCAGTTTGCCCACAGATAACATACAGACCTGGACCCCATTCTCCTTTAGACCATAACAACCTCATCCATATGAGGCTGATGGTTTCCTTGAAAAGTGTAATGATCACATATAGCATTCTTCAGAAGGATCTAATTGTTAAGCCAATTGTCTGTCATCAGTGCCACAGAATTGTAATCCCAAAATAGAGGCAAGGCTGGATCATGGAGTAAAACAATCTGTGAAGGTCCCTAGCCAATAAGGCCCATCAACAATTCTTGCTGCTTGTAAACAAAGATCCATATGGGAGGACACCTGTACCTATATGGAGGCTGGTGTTATAGACTCACTGTGTATGCTCCAGGATGGACTTGGACATGGTAAAAATGTTCACTTCATTGTGATTTTGTTATTCTAACCTCTCTGCTATCCCAGTCCCTCCAGCTCCACCCAGTAGTATCAATTGGCTGGATTTTGCTGTTCCTCAAAATTCCTTATAAGTTTTGGACAAGAAATGAAAGGGAGCCTCCCATTTAGCATCTGTACAATCCATGAGAGTCTGAGTTATGTTCTAGGGCCAGGCATGCCCCATTCTACATATAGTGTTCCACGTATTCATTCTACATATAGTGCTCTCTAGTGTTTGTGGGATGAGAGCAGCTTGGTCTTCCATGTTCTGCTCATCCAGCAACAGAGCTCCCCATATTACTGTTGAGTGTATAATTGAGATGATAGGTAGCTTTCCTAATCTTGAAGGGTATAAGCTTCTGAACTTCCTAATAAAAATAACCATGAGCCCATTGTCTTAACCCCTTGCTTTATAAAGGGTGAAGGACACTGGGCTCAGACAGGATATAATACTCTTTGTCAAGGTTACATAACTCTATGTTACTTGAGTTAAACTTAGATTTTGTGATTCCTTTCATATCACGTTCCACATTCCATACATCTTTTGTGAAAATCCAATCATCAGGTCTCTTTGTAGTTCATTGAATCCTTATCCAAGCTACAGTCTATGCTATTATTATAGGGCCGCATGATAGGACTCTGCCACCTCACCCTCTGCAGTTTCATCTGTTTTGCTGGAGTTTATACAATAGTAGCTAGAAAAGGGCACCTCTCAACCCAGAGAGAAAGTAGAAGACACCTCTCAATCATCTAGATCAGACAGATGAGAGGAAAAATCCAGAGCCCTGGAAAGATATCCTCTGTAATGTGCTTCACATATTGGGTAGCCTGGACAACTGCCATACAGCCCTGCATCCACCACCCTCACCATAAGAAAAGTTGTTATAAGCAGAAGCCCATATTCCTTTTCTCTGAAGTGCTTCCTGACTGGTTTGGATATGTGGAGACTGTGAGGCCACAGACAGCCATACACAGGAGGCTACAAGAATGGAAGGGATGAGGCCGGGGCAGGAGTATAGTCAGTGATTCTGGAGAGAGGAGGCAAGAAATAGAGGTCAGATCAAAGCAGTGGATGATGACAAAGAACCCATGGGGTGGGCAGGGAATAAGAATTTCCTACTATACTAGAAGTAGTTCAGTGTTTGAAACCATTCCACTGAGGCAAATACTGATGGGTGAAGAAAGGTGAGTCTGAGAACTTGCCATTGGATTTGACTACACAGACACTGTGTTCTGTCCCAGCAGCAGATCTGGTGTTACAGTACCAGGAGTGGCATAAGCTGTAGGGCAGGGATTCAAAATCAGAGGCTTTCTGGAAGGGAGCAAGCAATCATCCTCTCTAGTGAGGGTGCAGGGCCAAGTAATGAGGGAGAATCCCACCTAAGAACCTGGTTCAAGCAGGCTCAGGCAAGAATGGAGTGTGCCAAAAGAAGGCTGAGGTACTGAGTCCTTAAAGCTACCTGAGGATCAGAGAAAGGACCTTGACACCAAGAGTCAGAAGAAGATTGTGTAAGGGAAGGGGATTTGAGTGAACTGAACTTCCTAAAATATGTCCTTCAGAATCTAATGAGATTAATCGTGAATCTTGAGGCAGAGAACAGTAAAGAGGCTATGATCTTGGAGGACAGAGAGAAGGAGAAGGAAAGAGTGTCAAATCTCCAAATGCATACTCCTTCCAGGAAAGTTCAATGGCCAGATATACCTGAAACTTTCTCCTACAAACTCCAGGAGATGCACAGCTGGTCAGTTAGGCCTATAGCCTTCTGTGTGTCAGGGAACATCTTATTGTGTCCTGTGTTCCTGGAGACTGAGGGAATCTAGGCTCTCTGCAATGCTGGCCAGTGCAGCCTCTTCTTTAATAGGCATGCCAACAATATGGCAAGTACTATCAACATTATACTAATATGTGGCAATACCATGACTAGCCCCATTCTAGACCTAGGGATACAAGGCATTAATAGTCATCTAATTAGTCATAGTATAGCTTGGATTTGAACACTGACCCATGGGAAAGTGTGGGCTTTCAACTCTAGACCAACCAGCTGCCCAT